TCAGATGGAAAAAATACATAATTACAGGCATAACTGTAAAGTATTTTGATTAGCATGTGGGCGGAGGGGCAATGAAAGCAGCGTTCCAAAGGTTAAAGGTAAGACTCAGCTGATCTTTCCATCGTATGTGGGTCTTCTTCTGAAGTCACATGGTGACGAAGCGTTGCATCAAACCTAATGGGTTTGTCAATAAATAACCAGGAGGGCTGTACAGTAGAACCACTTTAAGATGCTCCTTTTATCTCCACCGTGTGCTGCGCTGTGAGTCGAGCTCGTCTCATGCACAGATCGTGTCATATTACTGCGTGCACTGTGTGGAGGTCAAGGTCAGAACCACTGCTGGAACCAATCAAATACCTATCACATAATATTACTGGCCATAACTGCACAGAAGCTGAGCCTGTGGGCGTCGGCACACTCAGTCAGTTATTAGTAATCTGTGATAAATAGTTATATAATCAATTATCAACTATGTGCTGTGCCTGCTTTTTATATGGTTTATCTGCAAATAATTAGCAGCCTGTAATTACTGCTACTGAAATACTGTTCGAAGAAATAATAAAGATTTCATGGTGATTAATTATTTATTCTCAACAGGCAATATACATTTAAAAAATGTATGTGTTTGTGTTGATTAAGAAAAATATATAAAAAGATTTAGAACACAAATATTTGATCAAATAAAATAAAATCAACACATCAACATGTATTTTTTGTCTATACACAGTTTGTTCAGGCACTTTTTAACATGGTGCTGCTGTCTCTATATAAACCTGTGTGTTCACCAGTAAAAATAAAATTATTTGGAATATTTAATTTTTCACAATTTAATTTTCAGTGGTCAGAATGTAAAAAAAAACAAGAATATCCACATCATAAAAGGTATGGAAGATTCTGATGTGTATGGAAGCAGTTAAGAGACAGAAGTATTTACATTTTAATACTTAATATTAAAATTAAAAAATGTCTGAATCTGCTCTTTTATAGCATTGCAATATTTTACGTTGAAAACCATGTTATTTAATATATTTTTCCTGAATTAAGCTTTGCTATGAAAATCTGAAATTTCTTGACTTGCAGTTTCAAAAGCTGAATTTAAAGCAGCTGTGCGGAACTTTACGTTTTCGTTGATTATAGCACCCCCTTTGGTCGAAGCGGTATGACACCCACAGCCTGGTGTCGTAAAATCTCGACTGCAACCGGCAATTACAGCATGCATTTATTTTGGAGAGCGAGAGGAAAATCATAAATGTTCTGGTGTAGCTCTGAATTTCTTATAAACAGAGGACAACTGCCTGCTGTATATTTGTGTTCATGGTCACAGTCACAGATAATTTTGTGCTGTTTGTTGTAACGTTACTACACAAAAGCTTCACATCAGGTTCACATCAGCTAACGTTACATTTAGCTTGCTTATAACTTCCATGTCGTCATATATTGAAGTGAAACAACGTCTAACAAGTTGCGGTATAAAAACAAAAATTACATACCTGTCGATTAGGAAAAGGGCCAACTCGGGATCAGTTTTAAAACCTTTCAAATCTCTCAGCTCTCTCCACTTGGTGAATGCCCGACCGAGGTTTACACGCGTTTGGGCTTGAGCCCTATCACTGTCCCGTTTAGCCTTCTTCTGTTCTTCTGTTCTTTTTCTTTTAGATGGTGCTCCTTCTTTATCCGCCATGACATCGAAAGTACAACCAAGTCCTTATAGATACATCTGGGAAAACTGTTACGTGTTCAGCAATGCCCGTTGCGTACCGCTTACTCGAAGAACACTCTCTGTAAACACGGCTCTTCTTCTTCTCTCAATTTATTGGCGGATCGCAAACAACTTCCAGGTGCATACCACCACCTACTGTACAAGAGACTACTCCCTACTACATGTCATTTAGCCTGTTTCTTAAACCTACTCGTAAACACGGCTCCTTCTTCTTCTGTGGTTTAATGGCTGCGGGCCGCTGCGGGCGTGCAGACTTACTTCCGCCTCCGAGTGCCGTATTCTGGTTTGCTGACTTCTGCTGTGTCCGACCCGAGCCAGGCTACGCTAAATAGCCATATAGAGAAAGGCTTTTTTGTCGCTGTTGGGTTCAAATAAATATGCGGATCTTAAAGGGGGGGTGATACGAACTAGGGACAGTTTTATGAATGGTAAAAAGTTCTGCACAGCTGCTTTAAATGTATTGTTTTCAGTATTCATACATTTAGATCCAAAAATTTTAGTTTCAGAATTTCAACAAAATAAATTCAAGTTGCTCAAATTCAGTTATTTGTTTCAATTGAATCAAATTCAGATTCAGAAATTCAAGGTTCAGAATTTCCAAAAAAAAAAAAAAATAGTTTCAAGCTGCTCAAATTCAATATTTTGTTTAGATTTTGGTGAAATTTGCAACTAAACATTTAAGTTAAAAATTTTCTGAAGAACAGAACATATTTGCTTTCCTAGATATTTTACTTTTTTCCACGTAGAAATTTGTGACATAGCTCTCCACTGGATTTTCTGTTGTAATTAATAAATCAACATTAGTTAAGAAATGTGTTTTTGCAGGTCTGTTACCTGACGTTTATTCGTCTATAATTACTTTCTATGATCATCCACAGTGATATTTCTGATGTGTTTAAAAATGTGTTGGTGAGTGTCCTTTGTAGACTGATAGTTTCATCATATTGTGTTTGATTAAACAGTCAGCAGATTTTGGTTTTTGGAGTGAGTATTTTAATTCCTTGTTTGTAGGTGCAGTTGTTTTGCTGAACACTGCTCTCATTATATTACTGCCTGTGTAGTAAAGTCTTACAGTATAATGCTAGTTGTTTATGAGCTGTTGTTTTGAAGCCAGATGACACAGGATGAGTTTACAATATCAGCTTGCCGTCTATCCCTCAAGGCAAATCAAGCGAATTGAAATAACAAAGAATTTGTTCTCTAGTTTTATTTAATGGAGATAACTGGTGTGTTTCCGTTTGTAGGCTGGTGATGAAAGGAGGAGAAGACGAGTGTGACAGGCTTTCAGACGTGCATCTAAGAGGCCCAGAGGGATCTGAATCTCTCATAAAACTACCTCTGATGACCAAAGTAGATTAAATGCATCATGCCGGCATCTTAAGGCAGCCTTTGGAGCTCAATTTCAGAGGGAAACATCGTCTCCAAAGTGTGTGAGTGAGCATGTTCTGCTCAAACACCAACACAAGTCTCACATTTATCATAAACTCAGCCGCTGCTCTGATGGCTGACCGTGTAACACCCGGCCAAATCAGGTAAATATTCCATACCAAACATGCGCTATCATCATCATCACTATCAACAGATCTGCCTCTTTAAAGTTTAACTCGGTGAACTTTTTTTAGTGCGGCTCTATATCTGCAGTGATTGTTTTACTGCGCTTTGGGAGTACCTGAAATATCATTCTGGCTTAATCATTGACTCAAATTCACACCATTTATTTTAGATGTAAGCTGCCATGTTGTTACAGTCATATCTCAGCCGTATCTCTCACTATAAACTCAGACTAATAAGCAATAAATGTGTGCACATACGAGTGTGTGTGTGTGTATGTGCATGCTCAGGCCTGTGTAAAGACAACTAGAGCTGTACATTAGCTGTCTGAAAGTGTTTTTGTGTTACAGTGGTGTTTATGAACGCTCAGACTGGTGACAGTACATGACCAGTGAGCCCATTATGATAAATTTAACTTTTAATTTACCTGACATTAAATTCCTCTTTTGCAACATGACTTTATTTTGCTTGATTTTCTGTGTTTTCTGTCTGTAACTATGTGATTTTATTTACGCTGTTGACTGTCTTGGCTGGGTTAATTTATTTATTTATTTAAATGTGTGTAGAATTCCATGGAACATTTAATGATAACTTGCAAAGACCAAAAGTGGATTTATACTTTTAAAAAAAAGGTAAAATAAATCTCTTTGTGACTCTTCATTGCAGCTAACGGTCCTTATGTGGACATGAGATGTGGTTTTCCCTCTAATATCATTTAATTTAAATGTTTTTAGCGCCCAGAAATGATGAAAATATCCAGTATTCAGTGTTGCGGAGTAACTAATTATACATAATTAAATTACAACATAATTTTAATTGTAATCTGTTACAGTCAGGAAATATGCAATTTAAATGCAGTTACTCATCAAAATGTTGCATCCAAATTTATTTCAGTAAAATGTTAAGTTTGAGTAATAAGTTGAATATAACATTCAGTACATTTCTTTGCATCTTTTCATTCTGCAGGAACATCTATTTTTTTTTCATGTTTTAGCTTTATTGCCAAGTTACATTACTTTGATTAAGTATTTAAAATAGCTACATTACTTATTACATTTTTAACAGAGCAACCAGTGATCTGTACCCGATTACATTTCAAAACCTTCCCAACACTGCCTGTGTTTCACAAAAAAAAATTAACTGAAAATAAAGTAAAATTAGAAAAAGCAATGCATTTATTTTGTGTAAAAGTATCTGGTGACCTCTAAAAAATTTGCTGCAACCCAGAAACTTTTCTCTCCTGCCCAAAAAACACTGAAGAAATCAGAAGAAATGCAGCTCCGTTTCCAACCACCAGGGGGCAGCTCTCTTAAATGCATTACACTGGTGCACTACCTGAACATGCAGTCACCTGTGGCTTCAACTAAAGTCTGTAGACAAGTGCTCACCTAAAATATGATGTTATATATGTACAGCATGATTTTATTTTTTTAGCTATAATCCCACTAAAGTCGATCAACATGTTATTAATGTAAAAATCTGGCAATAAAAGAAGAAACTCCAGTTTTGCATTCAACATAAACACTGTGTCTCAGTTCAGCTCTGCTCTCGTGAAGAATCAAATCATTACTCAGGTTTAATCAGTCGCAGTGTGTCCCACATACAGATGCACCTCACAGCCACCTGTACTCTGCACATGTGTGTTCGACCTTTGAACCGAGAGCAACATGTGTGTGCTCTGTGCGCCGCTATAAAAGGCGCGCTCAGTGTGCAGGAGAGCAACAGGTAACCCAGGTGAAGCCTCCCACTCAGCGCTCAGAGCTCCGCTGCAGGTGCGTACACACCGACATCACCGCTGCTCTTATCCTCATGTGAAGAGGGGCCGCATGGTCGCATGTGTGCAGGCGAAGTGACTGTGACCGAGGACGTTTGTAGAAGTTGATTTGAGGACCCAGAGAGGCGCGAGAGTGTGTGACAGATGATATTTAACATGTGGGAATAACGTGTTTCTGTTGTGTGTGTGTGTGTGTGTGTGTGTGTGTGTGTGTGTGTGTGTGTGTGTGTGTGCGTTTTTAGGCATGCTATTTTTCTATTTAATACTTTATATGTAGTTCCAGTTGATCAGCCATGAAGGTGATGAAGCTGAGGCTGTCAGTATAGAATATTATTGTGTTATAATAACTGTTCTACAGATTGTATGGAGGCTAAAGTTATTGTTAGTTTTTGACATGCACAGACAGAACATGGACATTATTCCCTCTTCATCAACTTAAACTTTTGCTCCAATCTCTTCTTTCTCACTTAATTTTGTAACACATGTATCTGACTTGGTTTATTTATTGATTGATTTATGATTTATTGTACTTTTCCCTTCCTCACACAGTCATGACTCCAAGACCTCAAGTGGGGACTGATTCCCCTCCAGCTCTCGGTATGTCCTTTCCTCTTGGATACTTTGCTGCTTAAACTGCGTTGTTGCCACCTTTTCTAACATCCCCTCCTTATTACGCCTCTATCAGATGACAAAACTTCAGGTAAAGATGCGGCCATCCTGCCGGCGTACTCCACTGTGGACCTTGTGAATGAGGATCAAGATGATCCCTGGGATCTCCCCGAGCTCAAAGACACTGGGGTCAAGTGGTCAGGTGAGGCAGCTCGCCTGTTTCTGCACAGTGTGGACACCTTTACAGAACCTGACTCTGACTGAGCAGTGTTTTTCCTTACAGAGCTGGATACAAAGGGGAAGATTATGAGAGTGCTGACGGCTCTTGTAAAGGCAGTTCTGCTGCTTGGACTCCTTTACCTGTTTATCTGCTCGCTGGATGTTCTCAGTTCTGCTTTCCAGCTCGTCGGAGGTAATTTAATATCTTAGATCTTTATCAGCACCCATCACTGCACATTTAGATGATTTCCCTGATAATGCCAGGTCCAACAGAGAGCTGCTTATGTAATGTGCACGGAGAGCTGTGTTTTTAACCTGAGGGTGTGTGTGTGTCTCTGTGTGTGTCTTTGTGTGCAGGCAAAGCTGCTGGTGACATCTTCCAGGACAATGTTATATTGTCCAACCCTGTGGCCGGGCTGGTGATCGGGGTGTTAGTCACAGTGCTGGTGCAGAGCTCCTCCACCTCCTCCTCTATTGTGGTCAGCATGGTGTCCTCAGGATGTAAGCAGCAGCACTCGCGCACACACTCGGCATTTATCGACGTCTCTACTCAGACACATGCATGGATGTTGAGTGCGTTAATATAATGGCACTTGTATTCCTCAGTGCTGGACGTCCAGTCTGCAGTGCCGATCATCATGGGTGCCAACATTGGAACATCTGTCACCAACACTATTGTGGCCATGATGCAGGCGGGAGACCGAAATGAGTTCCGCAGGTAAATCAGAGCGTGTGATGATAAAGACAGGACACATATAAGGGGGTGATCACACAGAAATGAGACGCTTGAAACGCAGACGCTTGAAACGCTAGAAGCGCTTATTCAATGCACGCTAGCTACTGGTGTCTGACGCTCAAAAAGTTGAAAATATTTTAACTTTTCAGCATCTACGCGTGTCTAAAAAAGAAGCATCTACAAAAACGGCCGTCTAAAAAGATACTTGAATGTGGGTCAGCCACACCGTATCATAGGAAAACAATGGTTTTAGTGGCGTCGCGTCTCTAGAGTCTCATTTCTGTGTGATTGCCCCCTAAGGCTGCAGCAGAACAATAACTGCAGGAACAGTGTCTGGTGCATGGTCAAGAGTATGTTCCTTCACTTTCAGGGCCTTTGCTGGTGCTACAGTCCACGATTTCTTCAACTGGCTGTCTGTGCTGATTCTTCTGCCCCTGGAGGCCGCCACAGGGGTTCTGTACAAACTCACTCACCTTGTGATCGAATCCTTCAACATCCAGACCGGAGAGGACGCCCCCGACCTGCTCAACGTCATCACAGACCCTCTGACCGACTCCATCATCCAGGTAGAGTCGATGGCATTGAAGTTATCAAGAAATACGCTCATGCAACGGATTAGTGCCTGACAGATCATGTTACGGACTGAGATAAAGTTACGTAGGCCCTAAGAGACATGGTTGGCCATCTTTAGTTTGAGGCAAGTGAAGTTACGAAGGTTAGGTTTAGGAAAAGAAACATGGTCACAACGTACCCTAAAACAACTCTAGTGTACTTGGTTTCAGACAGTTGCAAACAGTGAGGGAAAGTCCTGTAATTTTTGACCAACCTGCCTCTTTACCTGCACAACTTCCTTATTTACTCCCGTCAGTGCTTTGGTCACATGATCACAGCCTTACCCTTTCCATTGGTTGTACACAACTCACTGGCTCATGATTATCTACAGATTGTGCTGCACTACCTTTCATAGGAAAATGTGCATGTCATCAGCCTGAACATTAATATAAAGATCTTTGTTTTAAAGGTGTGTTTACATTTGTGTTTTCTCAGCTGGACAAATCTGTGATCACTGGCATCGCCACTGGTGACGCAGCAGCCAGAAACAAGAGTCTGATCAAAGTGTGGTGCAAAACCGAGGTCAACACGGTAAGAAACCAACAGGAGCTGCATCACGTGCATAAATTATTAGTTTGCCACACAGTAGCAGTGAAAACACATGATAAAGCTATGGTTAGCTCTGCTTTCTTCCTGATGATGATTGATATTGTCCTTGTTGTATTGTGACCACAGTGATAGTGTTGTTAGATCATGCTTTGAAGGTGTGTCATTTTATAAAAGGGGGGATGTTACGTGTGATCATTTAAAGATTATCACGGCTGCATTAAACTTGTTTTTTTGTCCTTGATCTTTTCTCTCAGACTTTCTGGAACGAAACAGTGGTGAACTGCACTGCTGGTGCCGTCTGCTGGGAGGAAGGAAACGAGACTATGACCCAGATGAACTTCACTTGGATTAAATACGAGGAGAAATGTAAGCGTGCCTGCACCAGTGAATAACCACAGTTGGGGGGAAAAAAGAACATTTACAAAGCAATTTGGATTATCTGATCCGCTGAAGCTCAGTGATATACGAGACACAACAACCTACTTCATCCAGACCCTATGAAGTCCGGACAATGACTACCTTTGAGTCGTTACAGTGACTCAGCTAATACCCTCTCTTGACCCGTCTACCTGCTCAATAGGTCTATTCATGCAGCCTAGCTGAAGCACCTGAGTGCCACATGACCATAAATTGGTCAAAGTATTCTGACCTCGGTTAAATGTAATGCTTTTTTGCCTGGTTAAAGGTTTTTGGATCTTGGTGGAGATCAGAAATTGGTTGTAAAATCACAAAGAAAGACAGTTTTTCTCCCATAAAATGCAGCTTTATCAGCTCCATTTATCAAAGAAAGGTTTGCTCTAAAGTGAGTCATTCACATGAGGCTATTTTTAGCCGCCACATAATGCTAGCCTAGAGGGGACGCTTTAATGCCAATCATCTCTTTGACCGTTCATTGCAGGCAAACACATCTTCGCCAATGCTAATTTGCCGGACCTGGCGGTGGGCCTCATCCTCCTGGCTCTGTCTTTGCTCGTCCTCTGCACCTGCCTCATCCTCATTGTCAAGCTGCTCAACTCTATGCTGAAGGGACAGGTGGCTGTGATCATCAAGAAGGTGCTCAACACAGGTAAAAGAAAAACAAAGATCCCCCCCCCCCCCCCCCCCCCCCCCCCCCCCCCCCCCCCCCCCCCCCCCCCCCCCNCCCCCCCCCCCCCCCCCCCCCGCCGACTTGCTCTCTCCAGCCTGTTTGATAGTCAGCACATCTGCCTTCTGTGGTGATGCTTGATGAGCAACACAGGTACAGCCTCCCTGTTGCTTCTGGCTCGTCTCCAGGTCCACCCGTCCTGTTGCGTGACGAAGAAAGCTCAGACACAATTACTGTTGTGATAAAGACTCCGGTCGTAATGTGTGCAGTCACACTGTGCTCACTTCATCAGGTTTATTGCTCACCTCCTGTGTTTCTGTTTGACTACAGACTTCCCCTTCCCCTTTGCTTGGGTTACTGGCTACATCGCAATCTTGGTGGGAGCGGGGATGACCTTCATTGTTCAGAGCAGCTCGGTCTTTACCTCAGCTATAACTCCTCTTGTTGGTGAGTCGTCATTTACATAAAGATTTTGCTGCAGTATCTTAAAACATTTGCTCCAATTACATCGTGATTTATATCTTGTCTGTCGTCTCCCACCAGGTATTGGTGTCATCAGTCTGGAGAGAGCTTATCCTCTGACTCTGGGGTCAAATATTGGTACGACAACCACTGCTATCCTCGCTGCTATGGCTAGTCCTGGAGAAACACTAGCCAACTCCCTGCAGGTAAGATGCAATAGAGCCTGTGTAACTCTTTTTAGCCATGCTAGCAGCGTGGCTTTTTGGATTGCAATGTCTTTCTGCTGCTCTGCCACTTTAGTCCAAACTGAAATATCTCAACAACTATGTGTTAAATAACAAGGACATTTTGTGAACACATTTGTAGTCCCCAGAGGATGAATATTGCTGACTTTGATGATCTCCTGACTTTTTCTAAAGCACCACAGAGAGGCCAGTATTTTTGTGTTTTAACGAAATATTTCAACCACTTTTTGATGGATTGCAAAGAAATGCTGTAGAAATATCCATGGTCCCCAGAGGATGGATTCTCATCCTCTTGTAGGCTGCATTTAGCCAAATATTCAAAATAACAGTTGAGTGTCAGAATAATTGTGGATTTTATTTGCAAAAGGAAGTTGGATTTTCCAAGTTCCCAGTTGGAAATTTCAGCTAGATGCCCGACTCGGAAAGTCAGAGGAGCCTCACCAACCCCAGCCTAAACAATCCAATATGGCTACTCTGCACATCAACAGTAGTAAAAGCCGTAGTAGTTAACTGTCTATTAGCACTTCTGTCTTATTTGTGTCTCATTAAATCTGCCGTACACGCAGTACTGTCCAACTTCCGTCTGTGGACGTTGGTACACTGTTGATATGTGCAGCTACTAGTATTGCTAATAGTGGCTAACCTGGTGTTGCTAGCAACATCTCAATTTTCCGACTTGTTGTACTGGAGCGTGGTCAGCTAAAGTCATTTCCATCTCTGACCTCCGACTTCCGAGGCACATGGAATGCAGCATAATCCTAAAAATAAACCTTTCACTTTTAAATATATAAAAATTAGTCAGCTGAAAAGATACCTTAAATAACTCGTTAGCCTCACTGCAAAATTGTAAAGGGAACGGTGTATCATCTAGCACAGTGGCTCCCAAGTAGTCCAGCCTTCAGGGTCCAGTTAAAGTTAGTTAAAGGTCCACATTTAAGGTAATCAACATAATACTAGCGTTTGGCCATGTTGTTGAACTAGTTTGCTGTCTCTGTCCATTAATCATTCACTCTGCAGCGGGAAATGGCGCTTTGAAATAAAAGCTACGCGCTAGAAATTCACTGTACTTCAAAATAAAGTGTACAAATTTCAGACTGGATCCATGACCCACTTTTGGACCACAACCCACCAGTTGCGAACCACTGATCTAGCGCCATCATCAAAACTAATGACATTCCCATCAGCCCCAGCTGTGCTTTTTATTGGTAATAAACAAATGTTAGCATGCTAACACACTAAACTGTTGGGCTACCTATGGTGAACACTTTACCTGCTAAAAATCCACATGCTAGCGCTAGCATTGCGACCATGCTGATGTTAGCATTTAAATCAAAGCCTTGTCTGGTGATTGATATTTTCTATGAGCTCTGACAGTGATAACTTTATTTAACCATCATCTGTGTTTTGTTTTCTAGATTGCACTTTGTCATTTCTTCTTCAACATCATGGGTATCTTACTGTGGTATCCAATCCCCTTCATGCGGGTGCCCATCAGGTTGGCCAGAGCGCTTGGGAACCGCACGGCCAAATACCGCTGGTTTGCCGCCCTCTACCTCTTCCTGTGCTTCCTGGTTCTGCCTCTGTCTGTATTCGGCCTGTCAATTGCTGGCTGGAAAGTCCTGGTCGGCGTTGGCGTGCCCATCATTGTGTTGGCTATCTTCTTGGTCATTGTCAACGTGATGCAGTCTCGCTGCCCGCGCTTCCTGCCCAAGTTCCTCCGCAACTGGGACTTTTTGCCCCGGCCCCTGCACTCCATGGCACCCTGGGACACTGTGGTGACCTCGCTCATGGGCTTCTGTGGCAAACACTGCTGCTGCTGCTGCAAGTGCTGCAAGTGCTGCAAAAAAACAGACGAAGACGAAAAGATAAGGAGGGACAGCAAGAAGAGTCTGGAGATGTACGATAACCCGGCCATGACGAGAGACCAGGACATGAGCGATGCTGTGAAAGCGACTCATCTTTAATATTATTAAGTTAAATCTGTATTTAAGGGCGATACTCAATGCAATAATGTATTTGTAACACACCTCTCAGGCTGTGGTATGATGATGATGATTCCTCTTCAGATGATACAAAGCACTGTCATAAACACTGTCTGTCAGCACTGAGCTGGAACATGAACAGTTGTTGGACATGTCATTGTGAACCTGCTGTTTCTGGGCGTGTGATGTTTATTTTATTATGTTTCAATTTATAGTTCCGACTCACTATCTGCTTATATAACGATGGGTGGTTCTGAATGTTATGACTTGTTTTTGTATTTTTTATGATATGTGTGAGAGGTCGTTGGTTTTATTTTCAACTTTGTAACATATAAATTTTGAAATGTTTTAATGTAGCATTTAAAATATTTGTTATTCTTCAGTATTTAAAGAAGTAGTTTGTAGAATTTAGAGGCATCTGTTGGCAAAATGGACAATGAAACTAAATCACTGTGTTTCTGTTAGCTTAAAATGGAGTCCACCATGCTTCTACCAGACAGGGCCTTTCACGTTAGGTTGAAGTCAAGGCTTTAATAGCTTTACCTACAAGCTTAGAAAGCAACTCGCAATCTGCAGCATCACCACTAGATGCCTCTAAATCCTACAAACTGCTCCTTTAAGACTTTATAATATTTGTAAATTAAAAAAAATTCTATTTTTAAAGTGGAGTTTTGTCACTTTTTTTTATCCGGCACATCACTTATATATAAAGCTTTATAAAGCTAACACAGTCTCAGTATGAAGTCAAAGTTATTTATAGTTACTGATTTGTCATTTTAATCAATTCATTTGATAATCAGCTCAGATATCTCTGGTCGTGTGTTTTGCACATGATAGATCAGAAGATTCATTGATTCCCTGTTAAAGTGCTAAAAGGAAATTAATTCCTGTAGCAAGTAAGATTTTTCTTTGATTTTTGATTTGCCTTTGAACAGTAACTTTGTGACTTCAGACTAAAACATCAGGCAAAGTCTGTACTGTGTAATTGGAGCAATATCTTCCGGTGGTTTTAATTCCATTTATTTTTGTAAAAGAAAATCTTTGAATAAAATGTTTTCAAAAGAAAAGGAATGACTAGTCCATGGATTCTGAAATACTCTCAGCAGGATGTGTTAAAGTTTCACCACATGGGGCTTTAATATGGTCATTAACCTGCGTGTACTGCTGTCAGCTGACCTCCAGAGTCTAATCAAAGTATGCGCTCCTCCTCCACCACCAACCACGCTGCTGAAGGTCCAGGAGCAGCAGTGGACTTACTGGATACTCAGATAAAAGGGAGACTTTAGCCACGTATTTTATTGTTAAATTTATTACTTAATGATCACAAACAGTCACTTGGCATCTTTTATCAGGACAGTGGACAATGCTGAGTTATGTAATCAATGTCAGGACCATGTCGAAACACTGAAAGCTTTGAGTCCATTTATTTCCTCACCAAATGAGCTGTTTATTAAATAATACACATTTTACAGAATTTAACAAATTTCTAATATCTTAATATTTAGTTATCACATTCACCCGTTTGCCAGCTTTAATGAGCAGCTTGTGTTTTTGTCACATTGCAATTAAGCAGTGTGATAATTCAGTGAGTGCATTGTTATCGTGAAACAACAAAGTGCCACACTGCTCCACGAGCCACATTTGAAAAGCTGACTAATGAACAGAGTCAGTTATAATCCACAGCAGCTGCTGTGAAAATAGTTTGTGTGTTATCAGAGTGTTAGATGCTGGAGTTCACGCAAAGTGTAACCCAGTTTTATCTTCACTTCTCCTCAGTTTTGCCATTTTTCTTCTCAACCACAGGCACGTTTCAGGTAGTTGCACAACTCAAAAGGCAAAGCTGGAGAACAGTGGAGCGCTGGAGGGGTAGATTTAAATGCAGTGATAAAATACAATACTGTATAAGACAGTAAATATAAATACTGAGCTGTGTCGTAAAGCAAACTGTGGGATCCTTTAAGAGCTATGAGGTGTGTTTAACCTTAGTTGTTCTTTGTTAGTGCCTCCACTTTCACCATCCGTCATAATCCTCTGTCCACAGACTTTCATCCACAAAAGCTGTCAGCGTTTTGCAACAGTGGTCAGTACTGTAAGTACAGCTGAATGGGCTCTCTGAGCTTTGGCCTTCACAGGACAACCTCAGACAAACTGTTGTGGAGAAAGTGTTTTTCCTGATACACAATCTGAGCAGCATTTCTTTAAACACAAAGTAGGAATGCAACTGTTAAAATGGAATGCAGTCATCACTGGTAATGTGGGCAATGTGTTCAGGGCCCTGCAGCCAGTTAATATTATCCTGTTTTTTCTTCTTTAAGTTATGGTGTTTTTAAAATACTGGATTAAATGTAATTTTGAAAATGTAATATGTTTATGAATTTGTTTGAAAGGTTTGTAAATTAGCATTTTTAATCTTTTTTTGAAATTTAACTTTATAGAAAAAAGTAAATGGCACCAATTCAGACTTTGTAGAAACCACATATTGTCAAAAAGACAAGTGACTAACTAAAACTAGATAGTGAGAAAATAAAGAAAAGAAAAATAACTAAATAAATAAAGACACTGCATTTTAAAAGTATGTAGTTTACAAGCTAACGAATAGATGATTATAGTGATGAAGGGGAGATATACTTTTCCTTTCATTTACATATTCTGCAGACTGCACTAGAATAATAAAAGAATCTATCAAAAAAAATGAACAGGGGGATGACTTGGCAAATATAGATTTGTGTATATGAAATATACAAAGCAGGATAGTGGGGTTTATCATAAAATGCAATGACAAACAACAACATCTTTCAGACAGATTTTCACAAAGTGACCACTATTTCTCAAAATGTCCTATATATTTCTAAATCTGTCCAAAACTGAACAGTGTGAACAATTAGAAAATAAATGTGTCAACGTCTCAGGCTCATTATTGCAAAATGTTTATTTTTCATCCAAGTCAGTAAATCTTGACACCATAGAAATTGTGGAATGAATCTCTCTGTTGTTAGAAAGACAGAATTTGAAGTGACAAAGCCTTTTTACATTCAATGTCACATATTTTCCGAGAAGAAAAACGTTGTCTTGTACATTTATTAGGACATGTTGAATTCTTAATTAATGTATTATTATTATTATTATTATTATTATTATTATATTTTGTTGTTCTTGTTCTCTGTAAAGTGTCTGAGTATCCTGAAAAGCGTTATATTAATCCAATTTATTATTATTTTTATTGTAAATATTATTATCATCATTTTATTAATAATTTCTATTGGCCAATCAGGGAATGTCGTAATTACGTAATGACGTAGCTGTAGGTCGAATGTCAATTCCGTTGTCAAAATGGAGGAACGCGCGCCTAACGGTCATACTATAAAAAAAGTAAAACAAGCTAAAAGTGTCGCTCTGCTGCAACAAATTCTTCATATTTCGACATTTTTCTCCACTAAAACAGGCGGAAGTGACGGTGTTACTGTCAGTAGCGGTGCCACACCGCTGCCGGAGGAGAACTGGGATGCCAATGCTAGCGCTGCTAACATAACCCTTAGAAGCGGGATGCTAATGCTAGCGCTGCTAACATAACCGTTAGAAGCGGGATGCTAATGCTAGCGCTGTTAAAATTGACATTAGCCCAAGTTCACAGCACAACTTAACTCCTACTGACGCCTGAGGACATGTTTTTGGGAGCATCTGTGGACGGTTTTTGCGAGAGGAAACATCCGCACCACACTCTGAGGATGAGAGGAGCCCCTTGTCCTGGAGTTGAACTTGGACCACATCTCTTCATAGAAGGACTGAAGAAAGCCGGTGGGTCAGGTAGGATATTCCCCTGCAATGCTGTATGGTCGTAGCCGTGGCGCTGAACTTGATTTGTTGTTATTTCATGTAGCTTGTCTTTCACGTTTTGTAGTTAGTAGGTTTAATTAAATGAATGAATGGGGATAGCCTTGTGCTACTGTGTGTCTAAGCTGTGTGCGCCTCAAGTTTGTGTCCATGATAATCCGTCCATGAATGCAATGAAAGCTGATACAGACTAATCAGTGTGTATGAACAGGGGTTCCAAAGCTATGAGGTTTTCACAGTATGATGACGTCTCAGAAAATATCACGGTTTTACGGTATCAAGGTGTTACATAATTTATATTATCAGTCAAAATGACCCTAAAAGGAATGAAAACAGAAGGGCTATTTTTGGTTTAACAAGCATTTTATTACTGTAACTGAAACTTAAAACCATTTTGTTAATGGAAGCATGTGTAAAAAGTCTTTACTTTCCAGTTGCTTTTATCCCTCAATATTGTAGTTAAGCAAATGTATACGTCAACTTTTATATCCCTGTATACATTGAAACCAGTATATCGCTACAGTCCTAGTATGGACAGCACATTTTAGCAGTTTTAAGATCAGTGAGCTTGTATGACTTTTATATTTTACTCCAGCATTATCGAACAGAATTATGTAAAGATTATATTCAAGCAGGAGTATGCATTCACATCCAAACCAAAGAGGGCACGTGCTGAAAGTGAGCAGGTCATTAAATAAACAAATAAACAGCTTGCACTCTGCAGGCTTCCAGTGTCCACTTATTTATTACAGGTTTCATGCACAACTGCGCTACATCAGACACCTCATCCGTCTGATAAAGAGCAGTTGTACTTGAAACGTCACCTAGGTGTAGTTAATAAATGGACATAGGAGTCCAGCAGAGTGCAAGCTGTTTGTTTGTTTGTTTGTTTTAAGTTAACTGTACTCCACAGCAAAGTCCAGTATCTGGCAAAAACATGATTTTGACCAGTGCAGCTCTTGAGGCAAGTGTACAAGTATGATCATGGAGTTGATTAAATAATAATAAAAAAAACTTTGCTGATGATAAAAAGAAAAAGCATAAGAATTTAAACCCAATCATAATCGGAAAAACAAACATTTCTCTCAGGGCCTGCGAGCTATCTGTTCCTACACTCCATGCAATAAACTAAATCACCAGCGCTCAAGGTTATGTTATCAACTCATTTCAGTCTTCCCATGGCAACTCAAGGGATCAACCAAGGACAATAAAAAGCTTTCAGCTCTGACATAAGTATTTCATCTTCTCCTGTAAAATAAAGCATTAAAACAATTCAGCTTCAGGTGATTGGCTGTCTTTTAATGCTTTCGATTTAAGGTCAACTCATACTGTGTAGTGCTTGTTCTAAACAGCAGTGGATTAGTTATAGTTCCTGATCTACAAGATCTGAGATCAAAGGAGTTTGCATGCTGAACAAATTTTTATTGGCCAATTGGGTGGGGAAACAAACGCTGTGATATGATCATGTTTGATGACACCAAGCAACAATCATTTGGAGTGGCATCTTCATCCAACTGATGAATTTAAGTTCAATATTGACTCTTTTAGCTCTGTTGTTGGTCTCCACCACCTCCCCAGTGAAATACCTCTCTCCTTAGCTGCTAAATGCTCCACTATGTTCACCAGCTAGTCACTCACTGGATGTGTGTGCTGTTTGGAGCTGGGCACTTAGTGTAAAGAAGATTTTGAGGGCTTTGATGAGAGCGGTGAGAGTGAGGTCCCGTTTATATGACAACGATTTCAACTGAAAACGGTAAAGTTTAGTTGTGTTTTGGCTGATCGTTTACATGACAGCAGTGTTTTGGGTGCCTGAAAATGCAGCGTTTTGAAAAAATTT